TTGGGCCATCTCTTTCTGAATCTCGTCTGGGTACTGCCCTGCATCCTATACCAGGAAACCCCAAGCATTAAGCCCTAAACCTTAAACCCTAAACCCTAAACCCTAAACCCTGAGCCTTCTAAGCCACGGCCTTCACCCCGGATCGTAAACCCGGCAGTTCGGGACCTAGGCTTCATAGGCTTTCGGAGGGTTTAGGGCTTAGGGCTTAGGGTTTAGGGTTTAGGGCTTAGGGCTTAGGGCTTAGGGCTTAGGGCTATAAGCCCTAAAACCATGTGGCACCGTGGCTTTTCTGGGGTCTGGACGTGCTATCTGAAGCTTCTGCCCCACCCCCTTCCCCCCAACTCTACCCACAAGTTAGATATAGACCGTAAGACCCTAAAGCCTAAATCGAAACCCGAAAAGGGTAGTTATATGGGCCCTTAGTCTTGGCACCCTGCCTCCCGTAATGGGTTTAAAGTATGGGCCCTTGGGTTTTCTACGGTATTTAAGGGGTATCTCAGTTGGATATAGGCCCCAAGATATGGGGGTTTCCGAAATTAGGGGTACCATCTTGGGGTGCCTATGAAGGGAAACCTCATATGGAGGATAGCCCCCCTTAATATGTTCCCCCCAAGCCACCCTTTATCATCCGTAGCCCAAAATCTCGGTTGGTAAGGGCCTTCCTATGCTTCACTTTTAATCACACGTCCAGTCAATAAGGACCAAGTGAACGAACCATGTGAGCAAAGACTAGGAAAGAAACGACAAGTGGCCCCAGCTCACCTTAAACACTGACAAAGCCATCTGTCTTCTTGGGGCTGAAAAGAGTTGGCTCTGTTGAATACATAAAGCTGTGAACATGACGTTCTAATCCTCCATCTTCCTTTTGCTCACTGCCTACTATAACCCAAAGCCTCTGACCCCTTAACCCTAAACCCTAAACCCTAACCCCCCCCTTCAAATTCCAGGCGGCCCTCACGTCTATAAGAACCTGCAAGCTTTGCATGCTGGCAAGCTTGTCCAGTTCCACAGCCCAGGCCCGCGAAAAAAAGGAGTGTTTAGGGGTTTCGGGGTTTAGGATTGAGTTTTGTGCGTTTGCAGTCCCAGCTTACCCTGGAACATGCAGAGCCCCAAACCCTAGGCTATGAATTTGGGGGATTTGGGGTCCGCTGAGGGGTGCCAATCTTCAAGCTCTACGTGAAGTTGCCTTACTAGGTTCGAAGAAAAGGGTGTAAGGGCTTTGGGTTTGCAGTTAGGGACGTCAGGTGTGAGCAGGCTTGCTTGACTGTGGATTGCCCTACGCCCGAACTGCAATCCTCGTAAAGAAAGAGGAGGGGGACGCTAAACGCTGAACCTAGTCTTGTCATCATGCCTTGAGCACCCCCCCCGCCCTCCCGACTTGTTGAGTGTCCCTCAACTCAGCAGGGTTTAGGGTTTAGGGTTGAGAGTTTAGGGCTTAACTAGGGTTATTGTAGGAAGTAGGGAACTTGGCGAAGAGCTTGAAATTCAGTTCCCAGTCAGCCACAGTCACAGTTAACAGAGAATGACAAGTGCAAAGGACAATAGAGGGTCGGAACATTTACTTGTAGTAGTCCCTTATGATCCTGCTATAGCCATAGTCAGTAGAATACCCCCCCCCCCCCCCACCCACCCCCCGCCCACCCCCCCCCCACCCCCCCCCCCCCACCCCCCCCCCCCACCCCCCCCCCACCCCCCCCCCCACCCCCCCCCCACCCCCCCCCCCCACCCAACAAAATCAAAACAAAAAAATCACCATCCCAATTGTTAATGCTAAACCCTAAACCCCCAAAGCCCCAAACCCCAAACACTCTAAACCCGAAGCACTCTAAGCCCACACTCCAACCCTAAACCCCAAACCCCTAAAATCCCTAAACCCTAGCCCTAAACCCTAAACCCCCCCCACCCCTAAAGCCAGTCAGGTGCCGAAGGCCAACCCATACCGACTCGGGAACTCAAAGCCCATCTCCCGCAGCTGGGTGTTGAAGGATCCCGCAGCTGGGTTGCTTTGGAGACGCCAAGTCCGTTGTTTAGGGTTTAGGGTTTAGGGTTTAGGTTTTAGGGTTTAGGGTTTAGGGTTTAGAGCTTGGGGCTTGGGGCTTGGGGCTGGGGGCTTCAGGCTTAGGGTTTAGGGTTTAGGGTGCAGCGTCCTAGCCGTAAAAAAAGGCGGGATTAGGGTTTGGAGGGTTTAGGGTTGAGGGGTTTGTGGGCTTAGGGTTCCTGGCTAGACTTGGGTCCAGTGGCAAAAGCATGTCAGGTTTCGGGTTCAGCGTTTCGGGGGTTAGGGTTCAAGGGTTTGGGGCTTGGCTTAGACATGAACCCCGAAGCCTACACCATGAACTTGCCTGGTGGTTCAAGGATCCGTATAGACAACCCCAATGATAACTGTATGTATAACCCACTTAGGGGACTGAGAGGGCTTCTCAGTGCAGTTTTAATCGGGTATACGTACCTTTTTTTTTTTTTTTTTTTGGGGGGGGGGGTCCCTTTCAGGTGATGATCGTATGTGTGGGGCACATAAGTTGCACCACCTTTTTTTTCTTTAATGCCCTGTGCCCCGAAGACATCGGAATCAAGGTTTCGACCGGTCTGTTGATGTTATTGCTGGTTCTTCGGGTCTAGGGTTAGGGGTTTAGGGTTCAGGGCAGGTTTCAAAAGGGTTCAGGGTTAGGGCTTCTTCTGCTACTTCTGCACTGCACTGGATCCAACCAACACAGAGGGTGTGCCCGATATCCTTCTTCGGGTAACCTTGCCTTGTTATCGTATACCAGCACTTAAGGCAATGTATCCAAAAACAGTAGTGTGTACAAGCCTCTAGGTAGCCTTTTATCGGTGCAAAGATTGCCTTGAGGCTGGCAAAGAGCCGAAGAAAGCTTCTCACATGCATCTTAAGCGACTCCAGCCTCATGTGCATGGCCCCGTCATGCGCCACGCGGTTCATATGTCTCCCTCTACCTGGGCTAACGTTCGCATACTCTAGGTAGACCCTCGGGTTTTTTTACAGTCTCCCTTCTTAGGTTCAAGAGGGTCATGTTCTTTCGATTTTTTTTGCGAGGGATTTAAGGGTCATCCTCAAGACTCTCTAAGATTCAGCAATCAGGGCAGTAGGGGTTTCGGTTTTTGTGCTGCGGCCCCTGGCTTTTCAAAATTTCGCATGTAAGTAGCCCTAGCCCTGAACCCTAAACCCGAAACCCAAACGGTTTACGGCCTTCAGCTTAACCGAGGCCATTTCTCCGTGAGTTTCATGCCTCCTGGGCGGCGATACATTGCACCCTCGACCCACCCCTTCACCCTATGCACACCCCCTAACATTAAATCCCCCCCCCCCCCCTACCCCCTAATATGAAACACACCCCATTCTGGTTATATTATAGTATACTGGGGTGTGTTTAATATTGGGGGGTAGGGGGGTTTATTATTCGGGGGCCGGGATTATTATGCACACCCGATCTGACGAAGCAAAACTGCTTTTGGTTTAAGGTGTTCAGGTTTAGGGTTTAGGGTTTAGGGTAATATACATCCCAAGCCCGTGCTCAAAAAGGGTAATATACATATATTCATTTTTATACAAGATATCGTCCTCATGACCCCGATTATCCCAGTAGGGCCTTGAGAGAAGCCCAAACTCTCAAGGCTCAGAAAGATGTATGGGTTCATGCTTAGGGTTCATGAGGATTTTGGGGAGAGATAGGGGCTTACGGGGCCTAGGAGATTTAGGGGGGGGGGGGGGGGGGGACTATGAATCTGGGGATGAGCTTCTAGGGGTTTGATTTAGGCTTTGTGGGGCTTTGTTGCCCTTATTTTCGCCAGCCTTTGAACCTACTTGGCCATTGAGTGAGCCACTTAGGAGCTACAGCTGATCCGCAAAGTTTGAAGGGACTGGGGGGACATCCCAAGGAGTCCTTAACAGAGATTCTAATAGGGGGTACTAGAATCCCAATTGAGGACTGTTAGTGTAAGGGGGAACATCCCAAGACAGACCCTCTGAACCCCGAAACCCTCAACCTTCTGCAAGGTTTGGGTTTGCATGGTCGTGGCTTGCCTTAGGGCGTATTAGGCTTCTGGGCTGCTGGTTTAGGGTTTAGGGTTTAGGGTTTAGGGTTTAGGGTTCAGGGTTTAGGGTTTAGGGGTTTAGGGGTTTAGGGGTTTAGGGGTTTAGGGGTTTAGGGGTTTGGGGTTTGGGGGTTTGGGGGTTTGGAGTTTCGGGATCTGTGCAGGGCTTGAGGGTTTAGGGTACAGCAAGGGGCATGAGATGAAGAGTCCCCAGCTTCCACGCCCTTTCACAGCAAACCCTAAACCCTAAAAAGTCCTCTGTGTGTGTGTGTGTGTGCATGTTGTGGGGGGTTCGGCCACATGTGCCGCGGCCTCGGAAAGCAACGGAGCGCTGTGGACTGCCAGCAGAGAGCGCGTGCCAAACCCACCCACAACCCTAAACCCTAAACCCCAAACCCCAAACCCTAAACCAAAAAAAAAAAAACTAAACCCTAAACGCCCCCTGACTTCCTTGGAAGGGACCCAGATTCCCTACTAAGAAGAAGTCAGCGAAGGCTTGACACCACTGGCAGCATGTCTGTGTGGCTGCCAGGCCGGGGAAGGGAACGGGACCTAGGATTCGGGTTCAGGGTTTTGAGTTCAGGGTTCAGGGTTTAGGGTTCAGGGTTTAGGGTTTAGGGTTTAAGGGTTTAGAGTCTAGGGTTCAGGGTTTAGAGTCTAGGGTCTAGCGTCTAGGTTTTAGGGTTTAAGGTTAGGGATCCACCCTGAGCCCACCGACTGGGAGTCGGAGAGTTGGCTACCTCTACATCCCCAGAATATAGGCTTTAGGGTTCAGGTGTAGGGTTTAGGGTTTAGGGTTTAGGGTTTAGGGTTTAGGGTTTAGGGTTTAGGGTTTAGGGTTTAGGGTTTAGGGTTAGGGTTTAGGGTTATATGACTTATAGGATCCTTGTTGATATTCATATGTGTAATAGGACTACTATGGGGCCCTTGTTGGTATTCATATGAATGACATGAGTGTTATGGGGTCCTTGTTGGTATTCGTGTCAGGGCCACTTCAGCGACGGCAGCATTCTCTTAGATTTGTCTTTTTTACCCTAAACCCTAAACCCTAAACCCTAAACCCTAAACCCTAAACCCTAAACGCGAAGACTCTGAACCATTGGCTGTGTCGATAAGACTTTCTGACAGGACTTCATGAGCTCTTAGCTCTCAAACCACAGGCTCAACCCTAACGCCACACATGACACTTCTTGGAAACAAGTTCTTAGTGTAGTTCGAGTTGGCTGTATCAAGTATCTCTAAGGGACAAGGAAAATTGGGCTTGTTACCTGCGCTCTTCGGGCTTGAGCACAAACTGCTCAACCCTAAACCCTAAACCCTGGCCCTGAACCCCATGCTACTTTGGTTTGGGCCTGAGGAGATGCCGAGGACATGGCCTTCGTCGTGCCGTTTCAAGTGCCACAGGCCCCGTTCCTCGGTCAGCGGGCTGTGGGTGCAGAGCTTCAGGCTTACCACAACCTGCAGTTTTAAGGTTGCATACAGGGAACATACAGCATGGGGTGCAGTAGCTGAAGGCCTTTACCGGGGTTTGGGGGTTTGGGGCTTCAAGGGGGTTTTAAGTCCCGGATCCCTAAGTACGAGGAGTGTGCTACCCGCAGAGCAGAGAGTCCAGCTTGAAGCCTACGCCCCGACACATCCGGAAGAATACACCGGCTGGTTCCAGCGAACGCCCGCAGTATGCCAGCGTAGACCCAAGCAGCAAGAGACCATGAGAACACCAAAGGGCGCCCCCAATATGCCCAAAAGACGCCAGTGCGCCAAGAATCCGGAAGCCCAAACGAGACGACAGTTTGGCATTTCGGAGCCCACTCGTCCAAAAGTGACGACAGTTTCGCATTTGCCCACGCATCTCGCCAGAACCGACATCCAAAAGCAATGACCGTGCCGAGAACCGCGAGGGAGCTCTGTTTCTTCGCTCAAAATGCGAGCAGCTTCGAAAAAGAACAGCACGATCTGCAGCGCACCCCTATCGACCAGGAGTCAACTGGAGCTCTCTCTTGTTCTTCTTTAGCACCCAGACCTGTGGGGGTAATTGTCGGGGTTTCCGAAACTAGGGGAAGTAAATACACCACAGTCGAATCGTTGTAGTCGGAACCCCAAACAGGGAAACGCCAAGATGGCACTGATGGGCTGGTTCTAGAGCTTCTGCGTGTCACGCTACTCGCACACTACTCGCTCCAATGCTGGGGTGCAAGGTTAGGCCACGCGAAACGCGAACCACAGGCAGAAGCAGGAAAAGGATCGGGATGCTATCCTGCGGCTGGGGCTTTTGCTAAACCCTTTGCAGCCGAACCCTGAACTTCAGTTGCGACTGTAAACCCCCAGCAGCTCGTGGCTCCTAGCACGAAGGAAGTCAGTCCTGCCAGAAGCAACTCAACACTTGAACAGGACCAGGACGTCTACGTCGTGGCTTCCACCGTTTTCGGGGCCGGAAGGAGCCTCGTCACAAAATTTTGACATGAAGGCTCACGAGCATCGCAACAAGACGTCTCAACATGTCACAATGCATTGTCCAGGCCGCATGGCTGGATGCGTAGGCTAAGAACAGAGGCAGACTTCATTCCACAGCAGTTTGGGGTTTCGGGTTTAGGGTGCTTATAACCCACTTATAAGTGCAGTTATAACCCACTTATAAGCGCTTTAAGTACCCCAATGGGGTAATTATTGGTTACACGTACAGTCATAATTGGGTTACTAAGTCCTCCAAGTAGGGTTTAGGGTTAACGGGGGATCAGGCCTGCACTTCAGCAAGCACAAGAGGGAATCTCTGCTGCTCGTGTGGAGGTTTGTAATTGCAAGCACGGAAACTGTAGTTCTAGCTGGTGACAACCTGTTTTGATTCGGGGAACTTGCGACACTATATTGGTCGAAATAGATGCCCATGCTTTAAACTCGTCTTAACTAGACTAGACCCAATGAGGGTTAAGAACCCCATGAGACTGCAAATCACCCCTTGCTGAGGATCGCGATCTCGCAGACGCCCATTGATGAATCCCCGGAGTTTCACAAGAGGAAGCGCCAGGAGAAGGACGCGGCTGATGACACCGCGGTTCCCGCAACAGCAGAAGCTCTGCCTCCGGGCTAACCCGCCACTAGGTAACTAGGTAGGTGAAGGCCTACGTGTAGGAGGGTTGGTCTACCCCTGCTCCTGGGGAAGGCCCAGGGGTAGGCATGTCCCTAGCCTAGAAACAGCCTAGGGTCCCGAGCTTCTACACGCAATAGTTGGGCAGCTCGTAACCTTCCAACCCTAAACCCTAAACCCTAAACCCTAAACTCTAAGAAGGTACGCCGGAGGTTGAGGGGCTTGCTTGCTGACTCGGTGCAGGACAGTGCACTAGATGTAGCTGCCTCTACTCTACGGGCTCATTCGAAAAAAGACGCGCAAGCACGCCTCAACCCTAAACGGACTAAACGCCCTAAAAACCCAAAAACCCTAAAATCCCTAAAATCCCTAAAATCCCTAAAAAACAAAAACCCTAAAATCCCTAAACGTGACGGGCTCCAAACCGACGCAGCCGCGAGCATGTGTGTCGAGCCGCGTTTAGCCAAGAGAGTTCGGTGTGATCCTGCCACATGCAAAGAATACAACCACATGTTTATGTATTTTACAAATTTATTTTAGTACCTCTAATAATTCAGAGTTAGAAAAAGGGCAAAGATGATATATATATATATACATACACACATATTCTCCCTTACATAGTAGCCAAAAGCCAGTTCCCCAGGTGCCGCCTTAGCCGCGCACCCGCCGCAGACACAGCTGGTGTTTAGAGGGGTTTAGGGTTTAGGGTTTAGGGTTTAGGGTTTAGGGTTTAGGGTTTAGGGTTTAGGGTTTATGAGATTCGCATTTTTTCACCCCCCACTCCCTTGAGCGCTGGTCCGAAACCCGAAGGCCTTGTAAAGGTCAACGAGGCAGGTGGCAAGAAGACAACCGTCCAATATAGAGGTTGGAAAAAACTCCTAACAGCATTCCCTTATGGGCCCCATATACGTATACTAGAACAGCCCCCACAAAACCCTAGTCTAATTCTAAGAGCCCCTATACGAACAGGTATGTCCCACCTGTTGGCAGGGGCTCGTCTAAGCCTGTGATCACGAGCTCCCGGTATAGTCCTGAACTCAACACGCCCTCAACCTTCTTCAACCCCAAACCCTCTAAACCCTATAAGCCCCGCAAGCCCTATAAACCCTGTAAACCCTATAGATCCCAAACCCTATAAACCCTAACTTACCCTTTGTTTATGGGCTTTAGGGCTGATAGGGCTCGGGACTGATAGGGTTTAGGGCCTAGGGAGGGATAAGGGTTTAGGGTTTAGGGTTTAGGGTTTAGGGTTTAGGGTTTAGGGTTTAGGGTTTAGGGTTTAGGGATACGACTTTCGAAGCCTAAATCCACGATGGAGTCGACTTCAGAAAAATGAGTACCCAAAGAGCCCATTCCCCTCCCCCTATAGGAAATATTACCTTCGTTTGGGACAATAAGAGCCCTCGAGCCTAAACCCTGAAAACCTTGAGGTGGATGCTAGAGAGCTGCTTCAGACAAGCTGGTGTATAGGGTTTAGGATTTGAAATAGAGGGTTTGGGGTTTAGGGTTTAAGGTCCAGAGCCCCTTAGTATTCGCACTATGTCTCTTAAGTCCTCTGTCCCAACTTAGGGCCACGATAAAGGTGCCTAATGACGAGGAACCCTGAGCCGTGTCCACGTACTGCAGGAGATAGGCTGAACCCTAGACGCTAAGCTCGCTAAGGCAGGGTTTAGGGTTCAAGGCTTCAGAGGTTCAGCTCTGGGTTAGTGTAATTAGGGTTTTAGGGTTTCAGGGTTTACAGGTTTTCGGTTTCGTATTTGCGCTTTGACCTACATACCTCTTAAGATCTTCAGTGCTAGCGTCCGTGGCGTTTGGTCTGTTTTGGTGGCAGAAGCCGTGGGCCTGGCAACAAGATGCGCCCGCCAGAAGGAACCCCAGACAAAAAGTTGCAAAGTCCAAACGTTCATAGGCCCTAGTCGGCTCTTAGGGTTTAGGAATTAGGGTTTAGGGCTTAGTATCCCTTATCCTGGTAGGCACTTAGTGTTTAGGAATTAGGGCTTAGGGTTTTTTATGCCTTATGAGCCCCTCCTTCTTGAGTAGGAAATAGGGTTTAGGGTTTCGTATCCCTAAACCCTAAACCCTAAACCCTAAACCCTAAACCCTAAACCCTAAACCCCTTACTAGCCACTTAAGAAGACTTCCTTCCTCGCAAGATGAGGCACCGCCGGGCTATCCAGCTCCCGCACTCAGCTGTTGCTTAGGGGCAGTCCTGGGTTATACTTCGGGTTTAGGGTTTAGGGCTTAGAGTTTAGGGTTTCGGGTTTAGGGTTTAGGGTAGATGCACCAAAAAAACCTACAGCTTAGCGCTTTGCATGGGGAGTTTTGTTATGGGCTTACACGGGGTTGAGGCTTGCTCCAATCGACCTCAAGACCCGCTGTCTGACCTTGGACATGTTTCAGCCATTCATGTGGCCCCCAGCCTAAAAAATTCTTAAACCCTGCAAACCGTAAACCCTGTAAGCTTGTCATGTTCCCCCTCATACTAGCAGTCCCTCCATAGGGATTAGAGTACCCCCTAGAATAATCCCTATTCATTAAGGACTGTTAGTATAAGAGGGGGAACATCCCGAGCCAAGGCCCCTAGACCCTGTAAACCCTAAACCCTAATCCGGCTGCTTCGTATCCCAACCTGGTTGATCATGCAGATGTTCCTTGCGTGTTTGGAGCATCCAGTTCATTATCATGCTTAGGGTTCAGGGTTGGGCTTTTTGGGTTTAGGGTTTAGGGTTTAGGGTTTAGGGTTTAGGGTTTAGGGTTTAGGGGATGCGAGATGAGGTGGTATGAGGTCTCGCGTGTCCTTGTAGTTATGAGGAGCTATGGAGGAGGATTCAGCTCACCTACTTGGGATGGATTGCTGCAAAGGCACATGTTGAAACCTCCGCCCCCAGGCCGGATCTACTATTGTGCACGAACCTTGCCGTCTTTTGTTGGCTGTTGCGACGTGGGGGTGCCAAGCGTGTTGCACAGAAAGGGGGTGTTGAAGGGAGGTCTAGTACAGTAATCAGGGTTTGGCTTTCAGGGTTTTAGCATGAGAGGCTGTGAGATTCCATTGCAGGGTCTGATATGAGTAGCTACAGCTTTGCGGATCAAAGAGTTTGGGGTTTAGGGTTTAGGGTTTAGGGTTTAGGGTTTAGGGTTTAGGGTTAGGCTTGAGGCGTTCCAGCATGACTCGCCACGCCGTCAAGGATAGCTCACGAGACATAGCTGGTGTTCGCACTGTGGGGGCGGCTTCGTTCAGGTAAACCAGCAGTTCTCGACAATATGGCTATGCTCTCTGGGATGTTCCCGCTTATACTAACAGCCCTTAAAAGGGATTATATTACCCCCGAATTATAATCCCTATAAAGGACTATTAGTATAAGGGGGAGCATCCCAAGATCCCCCTTTTTGGGTCACTTGTCTCTTGTGATGATTCGCGGTTTCGAGGGCAGATGATCTCTTCGACCTGTCCTCTGCTTCTCATGGTTGGGTCGGCTTCTTGGTAGCCCAATGGTTCAAGGTTACCTTATAAAGTAAGCAACCAAAAAGAAGGGTGCCCTTATGATAATATGATATGGTTTCTGGGCTGCCAAGGTTTGGTGGATATTTTTGTATTCTGTTCGCAATCGTGCCTGAGCGAGGTAGGCCCTTGGGACATCTTGTAGTTTCCCTTCTTGGGTTAAAAGGGTCATATTCAGGAATATTTGTTCAGAGGGTTTTAGGGGCCATCCTAGTTGGGTTAGGGTTAGAAGTGGAGGGCCGTGAAGATTGGGAGATTTGTGGTACTTGACTGAACCCGACAGTCCTTCATTGAAAGGGGCACCCTAAACCCTAAACCCTAATTGCGGGATCTTGCCGCAGAACAACTCCAGGACCCTATTTGGGCCCTGAAGTTTAGGTTGTTCTTGGGTGCTCAGGGTTTCGGGTTGAGGGCAGAGGGTTCAAGGGTTTGGGCTCAAAAAGGGTTTAAAATCACATAGTGCAAGTGGCAAATTGTACAGCGCAATAGCAAATTCAGGCGCCCAACAAAAAACAGTCTACGATTCAGACTCAAGGTAGCCGCATGGTTGCTGTTGCATCAGTCCCTTACAGTGTTCTAAGGTACTCTATCGTATGTACTTGGGCCCCCAAGCTGGTACAGAGGAACCCCTTTAGAAAGAAGGCCCAAAAATTGCAGGGGGAGGGGGGTTCATTGGGGGTAGGTACCTAGGGAAGCTTAGGGAGTACTAGGGAGTATTACGGAGCCACCAAACCCTAAACCCTGAACCCTAACCCCTAAACCCTTCTTGAACCCCTCCTGATAAAAGTCCTCTTCACCGAGGTAGAGGCCAGACACATCAGGCCCGAGACGTTTGGGAAACCCCAAGCCTTCAAACTCCAAATCCAGACAGCCCTACGACCTTTGACCCGCAAACCCTATACACTCTAAGCCCTAAACCCGAAACCCTAAACCCTGCCCTAGAGAAAAACCGTACTAAGTCCACAAGCCTTGGGCCTACCATTAGGGTTTAGGGTTTGTGGTTTAGGTGGGTTTAGGGTTTAGGGTTTCTGGTTTCAACCCTAAGCCCTACTAGACATTCTCATGGGACAAAGGTTGGCCCCCTTTGTGGAACTTAGCCATCGGGGTTCAGGGATCAGGGTTTCGGGTTCGGGCCTCATGGGGCTCTAGTGTTTAGCGTACGGGGTCTTCCGGTTTACGTTTTTCTTTCTACTGGGCTAATCGCAAGAGCCCAGACCCTAAACCCTAAACCCTAAACCCTCAACCCTAAACCCTAAACCCTAAACCCTAAACCCTAGACCCTAGACCCTAAACCCTAAACCCTTTACTAAAACTAAAGAGCATGGGGTCTAGTAGGGTGAACTCCTGCGTCCAGATGTCGATGCCAGCTTTCCACGTGCCGTGCCCCCAGTGGAGCAAGGCACAGCAAGGCAGACAAGCGTTTTCTTGGCACGTAGGCCCTTGGGAGAACTTGTCTTCTCCACTCACTGCGACTAAGGGGAGCTTGTGGAGGAGTAATCTTCCC